GACTTAACATGCAAATATAACAACAGCGGCAGCGACAGTAGCTTCTTAGTAAATATCTTCTCTTTCTTGTTGCCTGTAAGGAAGTTATTTATACACACGAGGGCATGCAGCCAATTTAGAAGCTAGGCACTTCCTCATCTCAAAACGAAAATGAGTTCTTCATTCAATGAAATCTGCTCATAACATAAAACACTCGGATACACACTTGGGGCGACCGTGGCTCAGGGGGTTGGGAAGCCGGAAGGTCGCCAGTTCGATCCCCGGGCTCTCTGTCCTGGTCGTTGTGACCTTGGGCAAGATACTTTACCCTTTACCCACCCTACTGGTGATGGCCAGAGGGGCCGATGGCGCGATATGGCAGCCTCGCTTCTGTCAGTTTGACCTTTAGCAGCTGTGGCTACAACCGTAGCTTGCTTCCACCAGTGTGTGAATGAATAGTGGCATTGTAAAGCACTTGAAAAGCGCTATATAAATCCAATCCATTATTATTATAAACTTTGCTACAGAAAATGCTCTGACGGGAATATCGGCTGTGCAGTGTTGTCCAACAGGTTTGACAAACAGAAAGAAGGTTTAAGAAATGTCTCAGCAGGAAAAAATGTGGACCGGGAGCATGCCATCGGATCAGCATCATTCACGCTATCTATCAAACATAAAATGAAGTTTCCGACTGGCTGCCAACAAAACTTGCTACCCAAACAACAAAGCCAGATAACTCTGGAACTTCCAAAAAAAGGCGTCCAGAACCAGCGGACAATGTCACGCTAGCTACAGCCATCTTTTATATACAGTCTGTGATCTACACCAGTTTACATAGGCCACGGGATGATGTGACAACCATCATCGAAATGAGAAATGATCATTTATGAATTTACCGTATGAGTACTCGGGGCCCAGCTGACTTATCTTAGACGACGCTGGCTGATGCTAACATGGTGTTTGAGAGGAACTTGGCGTTGCATCTGAACCACAGGCAGCAGAGGCTGCACGCAGGACTGCGTGAACATCTCTACACATCCGATGAAGACGAGGTATCCGCCAGTACAGAGGTGACCCTGTGCAGATGTCACAGGTGCTCGTGTTGCAAATGAGCTGTCAAAAGTGCATGTGAGACAATGAAGAAGCTATTCGAGGCAGAACTGAATGCAGATTATGTGCTTTTCAAATCAGGCTCAGTCTTTGAACGCCTGGGGTACAAAGCGTTTGAAAAATCAGATACTTACCCCATAAAGAGATTTTATGGGGTAAAAAGTGTTTGATGCCCACAGAAAGTCGTGCAGCTTACATGCCGAAATCAATATAAGACACATGAAGTAATAGGAAATGATCTACAACACAACTTGGCCTTATCAGCTGCGGTCGACACGGCCTTTCTTCTCTATCTCTACATCCGATGCACCTACTCTTACTCCTGAGGATGAGGAAGTGTCTGATATGAAAGCAGGTATATGTTTCTTCCTGTGAACGTCCCTCCCTGTACAACATGAGGCTAAGACGCTGTACAGTTCCCATAATGGTCATCTCTCTCTCTCTCACACGCACAAACAGGCATAACTTAAAGTCCTACTTTTTCACCACTGCTGATGGTGCAAAAACAGTTGCTGCTTGCAGGATGACCTCCATTAGGCCGTGCAACGACGTGTAGCTGAAACCATGTGATCGAGCATGCGTGTGTGGGTGTGATCATATCTGTGCATGGGTGTTTTTGTGTGAGCGTGTGTCCACATGTGAAGGAAGGGCAATTATGCAAATATCTCCCTCCCTGTAAAACAGAACAAGGTCACAGAACTGACCTGTTTAGAGGAAGTGTGCTCACTCTACAGATAAACTGCTTTGCATAGGTTACAGTTTTACAGCGCGTGGCGTGAACTGCTGAACAGCTCGACTCTGAAATGCTCCGTATCCACCAAAACTGGCACGTGAAAAAAACCAGTCCACACATGGGCTGAAGCAGGTGGCCGAGAGCGACTCGGAGAAACTCTGAAGCCTCAACTTACCTTCTTCTGTAAAGCGTATTCGTGCAGGATGTTGCTAACGTGCCACATTTTAATATAGATTTTGTTAAAAAAAAACATGCATCACAGCTTAAATACTTCAAAGAGCTCATACTCATGGCGGCACAGATAAATACAAGCCAGTGTAGGTGGAGCAAGAGATCATTATCTAAAGAAATAAGACTAGAAACTCACAATAACATTTGAAGTCTTTTTTTATATCGCTTACAAAAGCAACACGATGCACAGTGACCAAAATGATCTGCATCCTCTTCAGTCCAATCACCGACGAGCTCGCAATGGTCCATCACCGTGACAACCTCAGATGATTTTATAACTCAGCATTTGCAGAGCTAAATATCTCCAATGAGATAGACGGATGAGATTCTTATTTTTCTCTTTTTGTGCACCTCAGCAAACCAGAGCACACGATAATTAAAGACAGTGAAGAAAGTTTCTTGGTTGGAGTTGGGGGATGGATTAAAAAGTCCAAAAACTGAAAACCCCAGAGCGGATCTAAAGTCCCGATCTCGACAGATTTAAATGTCACAGTAAGCTGTCTGCACTGGCACTAAGTGTCGGTGCTAAACGTTCTGCAAATCAGAGCTGTGTAAACACAATCATAACTTGTTGCTAACAGATGAACTCAAATCAGTCTTTAAGAAGCTCTGTCTGGCTTCAAATTCTCATAAATGAGTCGCTTGTTGTTCCGAGCGCTGAATGGAGCTTCGCTGTTCTGTGACTTACACTGAGCTGTACAAAAGAAGGCGCATAGTCCACTCAGATCACTCTATCACTCATGTGAGCCGTCACTGGAGAGACTTAGGTAACTTTTCCATCTCAGGTGTGACCTGAGGAAAGTCCCAGACGATCCTTGGTAACGCATGCACCTACACAGGAGCCCGCGTGTTCATTCAAAGCACGGAATTACACCAAAGGAAGTCAAAATTCACTCAAAATGTATCCATTTTTTAAAAACACGCACTTAATCACATCCATATACGTGTAGACGGACGCCTGTGAAGTCGACATGGTTGCAAGAAATGTACGAAAGCCTTGCTCTGTGAACGCGGCTCCATCCGCTGTGACATTTGAGAATGTTTCTAACACACCTATGATAGCATACAAAAGAGCAATTAGATGGGTATGTAAGTTTTTGCGTGATTCCCTGATTGCAGACTCCTTCTTCACCTTCCCACACTCGTATTCTGAGTGTATTTTTTGCCACAGAGCGATAAAACACACATGCATCAAAGTTAAAATATGATATTTACTGATAGCCTAATTATTTTCACTGTCATTCTAATTTTCTGCAGCTTTGGTGTCGTTATCGGGAATTTTTCTTTGCCACAATAATCCTGTGGTGAAAAGCTGATATAATGCCAACTCTAAATACCGCCCAACTCATTAACATGCAGCGACAAACGACATAATTAGCGATCAGAAGCAGACGAACTACACTGGCAACGCGTTTGTCTCTCATTTCCTGCCACTTTTAATCAGGTTGATTTTTTAAGCCTAATCTAAACAAATGTAACTGAATATTTTGTGATACTTGCTGGGCCGTCGGGCTTGTAATCTGCTGGTTTAAACCCTGGCTGCTGAGATCAAATTAACAACTACTTGTGGACCATTTGTGCTCTAGAATCAGAGTCCTGGGCCTCGACCACAACAACTCTGAATGCTGCAGCTGGTTTCTAAAATGCAAGTCTAGCTGCTGTTTTTATTTCTGGAGTGCAGCTGTGGCAGGAACCACTCCTCTTTCTGTAACCTTACACTGCAAATAAAAACAGCTCAAATGATCTGTGGATTCCTTCGAAAAACAGGAAGGATTGCTTTTGGAACGCCAGGTGACATCACATGCCAAACGACATGAAATTCCAACAACACAAGTTCCACTGAGAGAAAGAGGATGAGATGTTCAACCTGAACGTTTCTTTAAACTGAACCTTTACAGCAACATTCAAAGCCTGTTAACCAACTTCTCCCCACTGTGTGAAAATATGGGTTTAACCCTGCGAAACCTTCACTGCTGCTCAGAAATGGGAATGAACTCTGCCGCAGGCGAAGAAGAATCAACATAAAACCAAATATCTCAGATTATGTATTATTGAACCTTGGCTTTGTGGTTGGAGAAACCATGATATTGTTTACCTTAAATATCAAGCCACAAACTGAGAATGTGTGGTGTGTGTGTGCAGGAATATACAATGTACCATATTAAGTTCAGACCTCACCTTCCTGCTTCTGCTTCAGGTTAAAGTCGGGCTTAAATGACTTAAAATGAGTCTTTTTAAGGACAGAGGGAGAAACTTCGACTACAACTCAGAGGTGTGATTTCGTAGACGCCCCGTCAGAGTCGAGGATGATGTTAGAGTGCACCTGAAGCACCTGAAGCACCTGAAACACCTGAAACACCTTTTAGTAGCTTTGAAAGCTTGAGCCCCGTTTGTTGGCGTTTGATGACATCAGTGCTCAAAAACAGGATCTTTAACTCTTGAATTCGTGGCACTTGTACTACAATCCAGAGTTCACACTAACTTCTCTATTAGATGGAGTAAAACTGCCAAAAAAAAATAGTTATCGACAAGAATACTTTCACTTCTTGTAAAACCACTTCCTCCAGCACAATAGAAGATGCACTTAAGTTGTGATTGCAGTAAACCAATGAAACTAAATTCCATCACACCTATGTTCTTCTAAACTCACAGAGAAGACGTTCACAGCGAGCAAAGCACCGCGTGCTCAGCCTGAGATTCCCCCCCCCCCCTTTTTTTTCTATCCTGTAAATCAACTTTTCTTTTTGTAA